CAGGTTTTGTCAACTCAAAACTTACTCAGTTTGTTCATCTCGCTTCGAGCCACAGGCCACTGGTGAATTCATTAGGTTCAAAACACATGCTTTCGAATATCAAATACCTATGTGATTAATTAGATAAGAAAGGTTCTAAAGACTATCTGTACCAAATTTGGTGAAGATCAGACAAACTTTGTGGGAAATGCAGCTCAAATGGTTTTGATCTAATTCAATCACTAAAGGCCAAAGATGCCCAGAAAACCATCTAGATGGAAAACAAGCAATAACAACATAGTCATTCTAAAGAATTGTCATGATCCATACCTGAGGTCTCCTCCGTTCATGATGGTCATCACCAGACACAGTTCTGTTTTGGTCTGGAAGGCGTAAGCCAGTGACACAATGAATCTACTGTGAACTCGAGCCAGGATCCGTTTCTCCACCATGGCACCCTGTGGACAGAACAGAACAACATTAGTGTGAAGGATAATCTTCAGGTTTTTCAGTCAAATTGTTGTTAATATCATTTAGAAGGAAAATTTAATTAAAAAAAAATGCATTTTGGATAATTTAACATTTGGACCCCACAGTACATAAAAGCATATATTTACAGATTAATGCATACATTCAAAAAGAGTAAAACAAATATAATGCATTTTAACAGCCTCAGCATACTAACACATGTTCTGCAGATGCTATTTGTATATGACATCATTTGCATGTGAACCAGTGCACTAGTTTTACTTGTTTTATTTTACGCATTATGGACTAGTATGCAGGATGCATTTCGCCATTTTGTGTTTCTCAACCAATGACTAACAGAAGAAACACGCCATTAATGATGCTTGAGTGAATGTTCACAAACAGCACAGTACTTTGTCTGTAAACATTGTTTTCAAGCTTTTAAGTATAAATGAGGTAATTATTAACATGAATCATCTTATGGACAGTGTTCATCATTTACACATGGACACAGGTACAGTCAGTATCATCTCCAGGGTTCTTCCTGTCCAGGATTTCCACAACAAATCTGTTCCATAATTAAATGTGTTGGACTTGCATTTCCTAATGAGCTGAAGGCCAAAGCGTTATAGTTTCATCAGCTCTAATACTGCCTCTGGTTCACAGCACTGTTCACTCAACTGACTGATGTTTATGGACACGTCAGAGTCAGACATTTAAACATATTAATTTATTCCAACAGAAACAGTTACCAGTCCAAAACTGATAAAAGCACAAACTAATTCTGAATATTTAGACATTTTACTCGTTGGGATCTAAAGCAGGACTGCTTTGTAGGAGTGAAGCTCTAGTAAAGCATATTACCCGCAGTAAAGCCTTCACCTTCATTATCAATGTCACGTCTGAGCTGCTTAATCGCACAAAACCAACATGTCAATCAGGATCCACATCCTGTTATCTAAGCGTTACCATTATCATTCTAGTAATACATATCCATTAACCTGTTATCTTCTCAAAAACACACCTTAACCCATAAAAAAATCAGGAAAAGGTGCCATTTTTGCCTAAAAATGTTTGGTTTTGATTTTATTTTTTACAAGCGATCGCCCAGGTGAATTCACTAGATGTAAAACACATGCTTTTGAATAGTATCTTAATATAACACCATAATATTACATTATCAATTATCTGTGTAATTTATTGTATCAGAAAGGTTCTAAAGACTATCAGTGCCAAATTTGGTGAAGATCAGAAACTTTGTGGGAAAAGCAGCTCAAACGTTTTTGCTATAAATCAAATACTACAGGCCAAAGACACTGAAAAAAAATATTAACAGTAGCTGAAAAACAAGCAATAATAAAACAATCATGCTAAAGAATTGCCATGATTCATAGTGTGGGTGTGATTGACCTCAGGTCATTATTTCATCGCTACAGTTTTGTGAAGGTCACTACTAAACTTTCTAGACATAATATTTATCCATTTCAGGCCCAAAGTAGCAGGTCTCCAATAGTCATTTATCCTCACTAAACCTATTTCAACCTCATTAACTTTAGATTTCCAATAATTTGAACAGTGTTCTGTTCATTCTATCAGTAGTAAGTCCTTTGGATGACAATGGCACCTTTTCCCAAGAAAGACCCTCATAATTCATCTCAACCAAAGGCAACGAGCTGCTTTCATACCTCATAGCCTTTCCTCTTCTTCAGCCTCTTCTTGTTGAGCTTCTTGCAGGCGTACAGCTTCCCTGTGCCCCTCATCTGACAGGCGGACACCTCTCCGAATCCACCCTTACCCAGAACACGGAAGTCCAAGAACCAGTCCTCGGCTACCGGCTGCATCTCCAGCCACTTCCACTGCAAGAAGCGTTTCAAGTACATGGTCTCTAGATAGAACGTGAAGGGAACCTCTTTGAGGAAGTCAAACACACTGGCCAGGATCTCCACAAACAGGTTATCCGCTGCCTCCCCGTGCCGTTCTTTCACCTTGGTGATGTCATTCTCAGGTAAAAATGGGCAGAAGAGCTTGGCAGAAGGCTCCATGTAACGCTGGAGGATTTTGGCGGCTTTCTGAGCCCGATCTTTATCCTCGGCGGTGTCGTATGCCTCAATGTCCTTCCAGAGGCGACACGGTCCCTTGTACTCATTGGTGATTTCCAGGTACTCTTGAAACAGCCGTTTGCCGATGGGTTGCTCCACACAAATGCTCTTAAACTGCAGATCCAGAGTTTCCCTCAGATCTTCACACACAGTGATGTGGGGCAGTTTGAGTTTGGCGTGGTACTTCTTGTCTCGGTTGGCCGCCGGGTTGGCCGTGCCATCAAAACTGCCACGGGCCGAGATGTACGCCGAGTTGGCCACCACCGTAGTCAGGCCACCGATGTCCATGGCAAGGTGAAGAAGCTGAACTTGGACTGACGGAGGGAGAACAAGACAAGACTGGCAGCTGAAGGGTCACAGCGAGAGCATTGAAGCTCAGCGCCGTGAGACTGGACGAGACTAGAGAGGCCACGGTCCTCACTGGAGATGTGTGGGATTAGATCATGAGACCCTGGGGGTCCAGATGCAGAGGAACGGACAGTGACCGATCGATCCAGCAGCACGTCTTGAGTCTGATGGCAAAGTGAATTGATAAGCCTTGTAACCCACACAGACCGATCCACCTGACTCAACATCTTTCATAAGGCTTTATCCTCTAACTCTATAATACCTTCCTCAGGTTAACACCTCTCACTGATGGAGCGAGAACATCACTCACCAACACAATGACACTCCAAACATCATATAATTCAGAGTTCAGAATTACTTCAACAGATGATTCAAGCACATCTAGTCGTAGAGGTTCTGCAGAACACGAGTGACTAAAAACATACAGTATGAACCACTTGGATCATTATTTTCATTCAGATGCTCATGTAGATACTCAACTGCAAAGACTTATT